TGCTTGCAGTGTTCAGCTGGCCGAGAGCAGGGCGAGCGGTGCCGATGCGCTGCTTGATGTTCCTGGGGCTGCACGACTGATGCAGCCCCTGGCTGCAGGGTCGAGCTCACCCCTGAGCTGAGCTCATCCGTGCTCTGTCCGTGGGTGTCTGAGGTCTCAGCAGCTCCCACCTGCAGCGTGTCCTCTGCAAAGACTGAGCAGCTGAAATGATGTCTCCTCCTTTCCCTTTCTTTTTTGTGGTAAAAAATAATGGTTAAAAGAGCCAGGCAACTCAGAACTTAGTCTTGGGAACACCAAAGGTATTTTTTAATAGTTAAAAAATAAATACATCATTGTTTCTGAGACAATAGAACATAGCCAGATTTGCTTTCAGATCTTAAACATTAAACAACCAGATTTTCTAGGCAGCCTTAGGGATGATGGTATAAATCAAGCAGAGATGTTTTTACATTCTGTACATGTTTTATTTATGAAATCTTAACTCCTGAGCATGAGCTGCAGTGTAGCTCCCATTTCATCAGAGGGTTTGATGAGCCATGCTGGTTATCTGACTGCTCTGCAGAATGAAGGATTTGGGGTTTTTTTGCTTTATTCTCTTGCTGATTGCTGTTGTAATCGGGCTGATTAGCCTTTTTTTTTGCAGGAGAATTCAATCTGTTCTTGCAAGATCAATCTGTTCTTCCTGCAAAATCTATTTTTGTGTTTTACTTTCTATGCAGAATAAGACTTACTGCAGCATTTGTGGGTATCTAAGAGCCGTCACATCTTCCCTTTTTTGTTTGGTTGAGCTGTTCGTATTTCATATGCTGCAGAAAATGGTGGATGTTTTTTGAAAGGGATAACTATTTTAATTTACTGATGGAATTTGCAGCAAGATGAGTCAGTTGTTATGAACTTTAGTCGTGAATATTAGTAGTTTCACAGCTGGGAACTCAGAGCAGACCTGTTTACTTGAATTTTTGGGGATATTTGTTCTCATGGCAACATAAGATCAGAAACTTGGAAAAATTCTCTGGTAGTTGTAGGGTTGCACCATAAATACTGGGAATGCCATAAATGCTGTGAAGGAGTGTCCCCTTGCTGGGTTGTTTGTGTGTGCTGTGGTCAGCCCTCTCCTGGGAACATGGCCCTGTCAGTCTGCTGGATTTTGGGAAGAGAAGAAGAGAATGATGCTGTTAATGTTATTGGTGGTATTGCTTTGGACTCGGGTTCATCCCGGTTAGGTCAAGGTTTTGGTTCCCACAGTGAGAAGAGCCTCAGGGAGGTGTATGCGAGATGCCAGATCACCCTTGGGCAGATCCCATAATCTCTTCACTGTGTGGAAAACTGAGAACTACCGTCTCCCCTGGGACACCCCTGTTTCAGTGGGTGACACTGCCAGCCCTGGCACTCTTGAGTGTGGCTGAGGATTGCAGCCGCTTGTGCTGGATGCTGCGTGACAAACGGGACCTCCCAGGCTTTTCCGATACAGCCTTCGCTCTTGAGCTTCATGTGCGTGATGCCCCTTGGTCACAGTCTGTTGCTGTGCATAAACCTCTGATTTGAGATCAGTGGGATGTGGTCCATTGCAGGGACTGGAGTGCGTGTGTCGGTGCGAGCTGGATGGTGCCGTGGTGGATGAATCTCAGTTGCACCCTGAAGCAGCACCCCCTGTGCTGCAGCAACCGAGACCAGCAAACGCTGAGTTCAGACCTCAGCTTTGTTTTGCATCAATGTGAAATACTTTAGCTGAAGCGGTTTCAGTTCTAGATTATTTAGATTTTTTTTAATGTTTTTATTGCCTGTTTGAAGCAGAATGGTTTGTAAGTGTCCCACAGGGAGACTTTTCTTAGATCTCTTTTTTCCTCCATAAATTCTTCCCTCAATTTTTATTTTTTCCACTGGGAAGCTTTGGGTCAAGTTTTGTGGAAGGAGCCTGCCAGCCTGGCAGGGTGCTCACGTATGCGAGGCCAGGAGGCAAAGCACTGCCTGCCCCAGCCCTGGAGAGCGGCAGGGCTTAGGTAAGGGTGAGCACTGATGGGCGCTGGGCTTTGGAGTGCGGGATGCAGGCAGCTGATGGAGGCGGGTGATGGATGTGCTGCAGCTGCACCATGACTCGGTGTGCCTTGCTCTGCCCAGTTGCTGTTACGCATTTGCATCCCTGCCTGCCGTGGTCCTGAGTGGGATGTGGCAGGATGCTTTGATTTTACCAACCACATGCCTTTAGCCTTCAACTTCAGCCTAAGCCTGTTCAGATCTTTAGAGAGCTTCAGGGTTGCTTTCCTGGGGGACCGCTGGTCTTCTTGATGCTGGAGGAAGGTTGTGTGTTTCCTTCCATGCTGCTGCCCTTGTGACCTCCTAACTGGTGCTGTGGGGCACTGTTGTGGCACAGCTGGTGCAGCTGGGAATGAACTGGGTGTTTGCTTGCATCCTGAGGAGCAAGGAGCTGGAGCCAACTGGATCGTGACACTATATATATCTATCTCACTGTTTTAGCTCCTCTGCCCAGTAGGATCATAGAATCCCAGGATGGTTTGGGCTGGAAGGGACCTTAAAGCCCATCCAGTGCCACCCCCTGCCATGGGCAGGGACACCTCCCACTAGCCCAGGTTGCTCAAAGCCTCATCCAGCCTGGCCTTGAACCCCTCAGGACATGCTCACTGAGCTTGCTGGCCCTGCACAGCTGCCTGTGGTGGTCTCATGCTGCTGCCTGGTGGCACTTGTTCAGGCCTGGGTGGCTGTGGCATGGTGACATTCAGAGCCCTTCCCATCGCAAGGTATCTGGGCCCCTGTCCACCTGCTGTGGGTTTTAAACATGATGGGAAATCACTGGAGAGTGACTCACCCAGTGTCGTCCTTGGCAGTGGCAGCACGTCTTGGCAGTGTTCGCGGCCAGGGGTTTCTCTTTGCTCAGACACTGCTGTTTATCTTGCTTTATGAGCCGCTTATCATTGCTGTGGAGAGGCCAGGATCGAGATTTCTCAGGGATAGATTGGCCAAGCATTTCCTTGCGGAGTGGTGAATCAGCTCCCCGCGCTGATTATGCTCAGCAGGACCATGACAGTTGTTATTCCTTTTCTTGGGATAAAGCAGCGGAAGGGAATGGGCAGGATCTCTGCTCGTGGTAGCACTTGCTGCTTCAGCGACAGCCGGGACTGTCCTAGGGGGTGGCTGCCACAGCAGTGACCCAAACTGAAGAGTTTGGATTTCATTTTCAACCGCAATCACTTTCCCTTCCTCTCCATTGGTAATTTTTGCCATCGCTGCTGACCCCTCTCCTGGCCTGTAATTCCCCCCGGCTCCAGCCCGTGGCTTTTGTTCCAGGTACGGGCACCAGCAGAGGTGATGGGAGGGCTGGTCCTGGCGGGGATGTGGGCTTGGGGGCCAGCTGGGAGCTGAGCACCCTGGGCTGTCCTGGTGCTGAGCTGGCTGTCGGTTTGCTGGATCTCTGTGTCTGGGTGGGCAGGAGAGAGAAGGGAAGGGAGAAGGGGCTAGTAGGAAAGAAGGTTTTACCCGGGTTTGTGTTCCCCAGGGCTGGGTGGCTGCAGCAAGCCAGGCTTGTGTGCGAAGCGCTGTCTCGCCCACACGCTTCCCTTCTGCATGAGTTTGCTGTCCCAGCACTGGGTACAGCCACCACCAAGCTGAGGAGCTGTGCCCCTGCAGCCTGTTGCAGTCCTGTTTTTCTTCTAATTCAATATCTTTGGTCCCTGTGACTTTCAGTCCAAGTCAGGAATTTTTCAGTTCCAGATGTGTTTAAAAGTCGGGTGTTTTTCTTCTCCTCGGAGGTTGGGGTGAAGCACGGGCTGTGCTGGACCGCAGGGAGCAGGGGCAGGCTTGGCGATGCGCAGTGGACTCTTGCCTTAGGTTGCAAAAGACTCTGATAGCTTCCATACAGCAGCGGAGCTGTGGCTTCTGACCTGGGCAGTCCTACAGCTCACTGCATTCCCAGAGGAATGTAAAGTTGTTCCCTGAGGAGAAATCTTTCTCACGGTCTCAGTCGTTATGAGATGCTGGCTGGAGAGAAGGCAGGGAGCAAAGACTGTGAATGAGCTGGGTGTTCATTATGTGGTCTGGTTCTTCCCCAAGTTGCGCTTTTTCCTGGTCTGTTAGGAGAAATTGTATTGTTTGTAATTAATTGTGGGAATCGTGGCTTCTCCAAGTTGGGCTGTGGTGTTATCCTGACTGCAGCCAACAGAAGCTGGCACACAAGCACAGATCATTGATTAAGGTAGATTTCAGAAATGCCCATGGTTTACTGAAGATGACGAGACTAAGCTGCTTTGGGATGTGGAAATGTTGGTGCTAAGGGTCCTCTGGAGGTCTCTAGTCCAGCCCCTGTTTGGAACAGGACCGCAGCCAGCCCTTGGTCAGGTCAGCTTGGGCTTTGTCAAAGTAAGCCTTGAAAACCTCAAGGGAAAGACCTCCCCCACCTCTCTATGTATCTTTTCCAGTGCTGCACCACCTTCCCAGTAAAGAGTTTTAATCCTAATATCCAGTCTGAACCTCCTAAGCTGCAGCTCATGGCTGTTTCCTGTTACACCATCAGCTGCCATTGGTGAGGATACTGCTGCATCCAGGAGTGTCCATGGGTGCAGCAGCCACGCCACGTGCTTGCTCCCATCCTCCCCACCCAGTAAGGCGGGGGAAAAAATGAAAAAAACAAAAAGAAAAAAAACAAAAGGTGGAACCTAGTGAGTTGAGCTAACAACCCATTTAATAATACAACACAAGAAAAAGAGAAGATAACAACAGCAACAACAAAAATATCAATAGGAATACACAATAGAAGGTGAAAGCCAGCTCTCAAGCCTAGCTGCCAAACCCCCTACTCCTGGCTAGCTTCCCCCTATATCCTGGGCATGGTATCCCATATCCCCTTGGCTATGCCCACCCCCTAGCTTCTGTGAGAGTTAACCCTATCCCAGCTGAACGCCGGACAGTGAGGTGAGGTGCGTTTTTTAGAATTGTGTACAGTGTCAGATTCCTCTCTGAACTGACAGCCGTGGGCATTGACCTGGCAGCTTCTGGCCGCTGCCTGATTCTTATGTTCCTTGGGCTTCTTTCTCCTCTTCAGGCTTGCATCAGATCTCGCAGAATAAGGTGGCAGTGCTGCTCTTGGCTGGAGGACAAGGAACTCGCCTGGGAGTGAGCTATCCCAAGGGCATGTACAACGTGGGGTTACCCAGTGGCAAGACCTTGTATCAGCTCCAAGCAGAAAGAATCCGCAAAGTGGAACAGCTCGCTGGCCAGAGACACCGCTGCAAGTGTGCCATCCCCTGGTAGGTGACCTGGAGCCACAGACCTGCACTGCAGGGGTCTTTGTGTTGTGGTCTTCCCTCTGCTGTCTTCTAGAAGCACTTTGCTGGGTGCTGTACAGAGACACGTCGGGGGAGAGCCTTTTGTTGGCAGGATTGGTGATGCCAGCAGCAGGGATGGGACGCAGCAGGTCCGTGTCTGCAGATCTGAGAGCCTGAGCACTGCCCTTGGGTCACAGGCGCTGCCCTGACTGCTGGGCTGTGCTGTCCTTTCAAACACTATTAACAGCACTCTTGCAGTGCCTGTTTCGGATCCTTTGCAAGATATTTCATCTGTTTATGCCGTGCTTTCTCAGATTCCTGCATGGAGGGAGAGACCGCCTAGAGCTCACCCTCCGAGACCTTCCATCTCCCCTTGCCCACAGTTTCTGCTGCAGTAAAAAAACTCTTCCCCTTGCAGCAGTAAATGCTTGTCATGCACCATTTTCAGGCCACCTTCTGCTGTTATTGTTTACAGCTGGTTGCCATCTCTCCTGGCTGCTCCTGGCTTTCAAAAGCCTCCAGGCTTCAAAAGAGACTACCTCTGTGCAAGGTGCAAAATATGAATTCCCTATGGGATGTGGTGGGTGAGAGAGAGGAAGACACTGCTGCATGCTTCTGGGAGTGTTTTCTGCTAAGCCGCCTTCTCTTCATTAGACTACAAAGAGACACCTTTATGAAATCCCTTGAGGTCTGATCCAGGGTTTGGGAAGAGAGCATGTGTCTGAGGTCTTCAGGGTAGCAGATTGTTTTACAAATTGGAGATCGAGGGTGATTTGAGTCCATATTGTGTCTCTTTCTGCAGCCATGCATACATGACCTGAATTACAAATGCACCATCCCTGGTGCTGCTGGAAGCCAGGGTGGGTTATTTACAGGGTGTGACACTGCCTGATAATGTGTAGGGTTCCTCTCCCCAGACTGAGCAGAGTTGGCTGCTGTACCAGAGGCCAGGCTATGCCATGCTGCAAAGATGTAAATCGGGGGTTGTATGAGGTCCGGGCTCTCCTGTGCAAGGGATTGATCCCCCGGCATGCTGGCAGAGGACCCTGTATGCCCGTGCCCATAGTTGCTGGAGAAGTGTTTGACAGGTAGATGATGAAGATGACTCTTAGCCACTGTTGAAGAAGGAAGATCACGGAAGGAGAGACAGCAGTAATGTGGAGCTGGAAGGAGAGGAGGAAATAGAGAAACTTAAGAAAAACAAATCATGCAACCAACATTTGAAAGTGCTGCTGTTCACCTTGGCACAGAAGAGAAGCTGGCAGACTGAGCTGCTGGGCATTCACAGCTTGTTCTCAGCACTTCGTGCTGGTTCAATGCTTCTTTAGACACTTAACATCAGTTTGAATCAACTGTGAACAAGCCTGTTGTACTCTCCTTTGCCTTGTTTTCCAGCTCCTCCAGATCTCCAGATGCCGTTCACATTTAGCAAAAGGCTGTGCTGTCCTTGCTGGAGATAAGCTAGTGGGTAGGATCATGCACACGACCCTGTGCAGCCTTCCTGTGGCATGAGTTCTGGAGGAGAGCTCTCCTGCTCAGTTGCATATCGCAGGATACTGCAGTGTCTCTCGTTTAACACTTGGGTTTCCTCCCTTTGGTGTTCCATTTGTGGTTTTGTCTTTCACTTGTGCTTTTCTTGCTCATTGCTCGGCACCCATTCCGCCGCAGGTACATCATGACAAGTGAGTTCACGCTGGGGCCAACGGAGGAGTTCTTTGTAGAACACAACTATTTCAACCTGGACAGATCCAACGTGGTCATGTTTGAACAGAGGATGCTGCCCGCTGTCACCTTTGATGGGAAGGCCATCCTGGAGGAGAAGGGGAAAATTGCTATGGCTCCAGGTACTCCGCTGTTCACTCTGACGTGGTGCAGTGATGGGTGTTGATAATTGCTACTAGCCATCAGTCAGCCTGGGCACACGGAGCGGTCTTTGGAGGTCAGTGGTAATGCTTCTGATTAGTGTGGGAGGGTTCAGTTAGATGGTTCAGGCTGGTAAGCAAGAGTGTAGCAATCTCCATTTAGTTCTTGCTGGAGATTTGCCTACAGGACATGGATTTTGTCAAAGCCTGGGAGTTTTGGCAGGATTAGGAGTGGTGCAGCTGCAGGTTAGGAGCAACCTGCATCGGCAGGGCTGTGTGTGAGGTCCCAGGGGTGCTGCCTCCCGGGGATGAAGCTGTCGGGAGCCGCGCTTCTGTTTAAGGCTGATAGCTGGAAATGGGTAAAAAAGCAGCAAGAATAGTAACTCTTTCCAAAATGATCATAATGTCTCACCTAGTAAAGCTCTCCTCTTAACCTGAATGTGGTAAGAGGCTCGGTGAAGGCATCCTGATTGGGGCCGTGTTGCAGTGATGAGGTTTGCAGCTGCAGAGCGGTTTTCCTGAGCTGACAGGGGTGTCAGAGGAGGAACCGTGAGAGCGTGATTCGTGATGAAGAAACGTGCAGGTGTTGTTTGTGCAGCTGCAGTTCAAGCCTTTAAAAAGGCATTGGGAAATTGCGGGGGGAAGATAAACAGAGAATAAGATTTAGTTTAGTCTTTTTCTCCAAGCTGAGTTTTAAAGATGCTTTTGCTCCGCACTGGAAGAGAAGAAATGCAATGGGCTTTTCCCACCCTCTGCATAATGTTTTGCCCTTTACTGTTTTCCCTCTGAGGATCTTACAAGGCTTCACAAAGTCTTGTAACGCTTCTCAGTGAGGCTGGTCCCCTTGGTCCCACGCTGCAGCTGAGGGAGCTGGGGTGTGGAGGGGAACAGGCTTGCCTGAACTGTGTGGCAGAGCTGGAAATAAAATCTGGTATTGCTGGCTCCTGGCTAGAAAGCATTCCCTGAACTTTGTTCAGGACTTTCAGCTTTTCCTGTTAGCTGCAAAAACTCCACCAAGTCATCAATTAACCAGGGCTTTCTCTTTTCTCTTGTATTACAGATGGCAATGGTGGCTTATACCGTGCTTTGGTGGATAATGAGATCTTGAATGACATGAAGAGGCGTGGAATCCTGTATGTTCATGTATACTGTGTGGACAATATCCTCGTGAAAATGGCAGATCCAGTCTTCATAGGCTTCTGTGTTTCCAAAGGGGCAGATTGCGGTGCAAAGGTGAGGCAGTGTTAACACCGGGCCATTTCCCCGCAAGGTCTGACTATGCTTGGAAGCTGCTGGCCGGGGTGAGCTTAGAGGAACCGGGGTGTTCAGACCTCTGTCCAACAGCAGCTTGCTCCAAGCAGATTTAGAGGAACTGCTGGCTGCCTGCGCTGCATTCGGAATCCTTACCGGAGGGTATTTTCCTCCCCTCTTGCCAGAGCACTGCGGAAATAAACTTCAGTTAGAGCAAAGACTTCCAGAAAAGCTGGAATTGCTTCCCCTTTATGCCTTGCCTTTTCTACAAAGGCATTTGTGCTCTCTAGAAGCTGCATTGGACTGGGTTGTGTTTTATAAATGCACCTTTAAGTCTACTGGAGGCATTCCTTATGCTTCATTCTGGAAGATGGGGAAAACCAAAGCTGCCTGGATTTGTCACCCTAAGGCAGCAGGTGCTTGGGGAGGGATTTATGTTATCATTAACACTGTTCATGCAAACAGGGAGCCAAAGGCTAACAGCTGCAAACATGTCCCATTGGGAGTACTGTGTCTGGGCCTGGGGTCCCCAGCATAGAAAAGACGTGGAGCTCTTGGAACAGGTCCAGAGGAGGCCACAGAGATGATCAGAGGCTGGAGCACCTCTCCTATGGAGAAAGGTTGAGGGAACTGGGCTTGTTCAGCTTGGAGAAGAGAAGGCTCCAGGGAGACCTCATTGCGGCCTGCCAGTGCTTGAAGGGAGCCTGTAAACAGGAGGGGGACCAACTGTTACAGGGAGTGACAGTGACAGGACGAGGGGGACTGGTTTCAAACTAAGAGAGGGGAGATTTAGGTTAGACATCAGGAGGAAATTTTTCATGCAAAGGAGGGTGAGGCAGTGGCCCAGGTTGCCCAGAGAAGCTGTGGATGCCCCATCCCTGGAGGGGTTCAAGGCCAGGCTGGATGAGGCTTTGGGCAACCTGGGCTAGTGGGAGGTGTCCCTGCCCATGGCAGGGTGTGGGACTGGATGGGCTTTAAGGTCCTTTTCCACTCAGGCCATTCTATGATTCTATGTTTCATTTAGTGCCGGGTCCCAGTCCATGATCAGAAAAGCACTCCACAGTGTGCCCATTTCTTTTAACTGGGTTGTCTTCTGAGCAACTGCGCAATTAAGCAGTCCAGTGATGGGTTTTATGCCCAGCTGTTGGCCAAAGTGTTCCTCCAGACTGTTAGGTACAGCCAGCCCTGCCTGGCCCATGCTCCCCCAAGGTGCTGGAGGATCAGCGTGCAATGGTCCTGTAGGATCATTTGTACGTGGGAGCTGTCTGGGATTTTGTCCCCCTTGTCACAGCCCTCTGTCCCTTGGCTGCAGGTGGTGGAGAAGGCGTACCCGACAGAGCCCGTTGGGGTGGTGTGCTGTGTGGACGGGGTCTACCAGGTGGTGGAGTACAGCGAGATCAGCCTGGAGACCACGCAGCAGCAAAGCCCCAGGGGGGGACTGATGTACAGCACCGGCAATATCTGCAACCATTTCTTCACAGTTGAGTTCCTGGAGACAGTGGCCCAGTAAGTTCCAGCAGACCTGCTAGGCAGCTGTGCAGCCCAGAAATGCCTCCAAGAGTGGGTGTTCCATTTCCCACTCCGTAATTTCAGTGACGGGTACCTCCTGCTCGGCTCTTCACCTCCTCTCTCCTCCAAACGGTTCAAACGAGCTGTGTCCCCTTCCTGACAGCCCCGGTGTGCTCTCTAGGCCTTACCCAAGGAAGAGGTATAGCTTTGCTGTAGCTAAATCGACCAAGATATGCCCATGCATGGCGTTCCTGGGCCTGCAAGGCTGAGCAGCCATGTGGGCTGCGGTGCAGTCAGCGATGCGGTCAGCGATGCAGCCCCACATGGAGGATTTCCAATGGAAATGTCACCCCTGCTGTCCCCTGGGACAACACAGTTTGGGGGAGAGGGTGAAGCTGGTGAGGACTCTGCACTTCAGTGCAGGGAGATGGGGATGTGTTGCTGGGCGTTCGGTGAGCAGCCGTACAACCTTCCTGAAGAGCTTGATCCGCCCTTGTGTGTGAGATCTGCTCTGCTCCATTGTCACCCCAGTCAGATAAAAATTTGGGTTACTGTCTTTTATCTCTGCTGGCAATTTCAGCTGGACGTTAGGTGCTCCCTCTCCTCTTGCTTTCCCCTGCCATGTCTCACTGGTGCAGGGAGTGCCGCTGGCCAGGCTGCTCTGCTCAGCGAGGTGTTTCTTGGACGTGACTTGGATCAAGTTGCAGGTGATACACAGGAGTAATAAGCCATCTGCTTCCCAGAAGTGTACTACTTTTTTCTAAGTGGGCATGAAGTAAATGAAGTTGTTTCTTCTCCTTTTGCAGGAAATATGAGCCGCAGCTGAGGCATCACGTAGCCATAAAGAAGGTGCCCTACATTGACGAGGAGGGAAATCTGGTAAAACCGCTAAAACCGAACGGGATAAAGCTGGAGAAGTTTGTGTTTGATGTGTTCCAGTTCTCTAAGTTAGTGGCAGACATGATTTTATTTTTTTCCTCCCCTTCTCAATGTTTGTTTGAATGGCTGTAGTTTGTAACAGGCCTTTCCAGGGAACGCATGGTTTGTGGGTGGCTTGTTAGAAAGGCTGTTGGATCTACACCGAGCTCCAACACAACAGTAACGCCACAGGCTCCGGGCGGTGTGTTTGCAAGCAGCCGGACTTGCTCTGACTGTGCTCCCAGAACTGGTTGTTCCGCTGTGTTGGTGGGCCCGGTCACTTTCAGCCCTGTGAAAGAAACAAAAAAAAAAAGGGAAATCAAGTGCAAATTCAGTATTTAATACAAGCCCATGTTGGAGTATTCAGACTCGGAGAAATTGTGACTTTCAGGATTGTGGCTTCCATGGCAACTGCAGCTCTGGTCCCATTTTCGATGGGTGTTATGCCAGGGCTCAGCTCACACCGTTTGGGCTTGGAAAATAGGTTGTTTAAGCACCGTGGGGCCAAGTTACTGTTGCTGTGGGAACTGTCAGCGTTGACTTGCCAGGCTCTAAAACATCTGAGAGCACTGTGCCATAGGGTTAGCGCAGTCAGGGGTACTTTGTGTTTAGGGAATGTGGGACTTTAACAATTCAGGAATTTAGCTTAAGTGTTCTTATAAAACCTATTTTTCAAGGTCCCGAAGTCAGCAGTAAAGGTTCTGGTGTAGGCTTAAGTAAATGGCAAAAAGAGACCTCAGGCAAACTGAATTATTTTTGTCTGGGGATAGCATTTTTGTTTTTAGGGGATTTATTTCAGGATAGAGAGCTTGAGGTTTGAACTGGTCTCCATTTCCTGACACATGTTCAGTAAACAAGTATCATACCAAAGGCAAAACCAGTGTGATGGAAACAGTGTCGAGTTCTGAGCTTTGAAAAGACTTCCTAGCAAGCAGTGATTCCTTGTGCTTTTTTAATAACACTGCAAAACCAGCTTTTTTTCACACTGAAAAGCAGCTGCTTTTCACACATGAGACTCAGAAACGCACAGATGCTGCTGTGGAATTTCTAAATTTGCATTCTCATTTCTGGTAAACAGCTGTACTGAACATTCAGCTGTGAATCCTCCCATATTGCTTATTTATTCCTGGGAGCTGGTGTCCTCAGCTGATCCTTGCCTACAGACTCCCAAGTGGAGTGGCCATTTCTTGGAGCAGGGGTGCGGTACTCTCAAGTGCACGGCACAGCTCGGTGCCGTGTCCGAGCCTCAGGCATCGCTGCTCTCTCCATCCTGCTGTGCTCTTGGCTGAGGCTTTTTGTCCACGAGCCTCTTAGTACCTGGAGAGGTTTCTGGGGGATCTCTGCAGAGCTGCTGTTTTTCCTCTCACCTGTGCACAGCTCTGGAGGGTCAAGAGGCTGCTGTGATGTTCCCAAAGAGATTGGGCTTTTTGTTGTGTTTTTCCATCGTACAGCCCTGGTACTACTTTGCTCCTTAGCTTGACTGCCCCAGGCTGCACATGTTGCTGTTCCTTAGAATATATGTAAGCCTTTCCCCGTGAAAGTTGTTGCATCAACAGGGCTGATGGCTGCCTTTCCTTTTCATTATAATTGTTTTCTCTCCTTTGCTGGTAGGAATTTTGTGGCATTTGAAGTTTTGAGAGAAGAGGAGTTCTCACCACTAAAAAATGCAGACACAGCTGACAAAGACACTCCTAACACTGCTCGGCAAGCCCTCCTGGCCCAGCATTACCGCTGGGCTCTCAAGGCTGGGGCCAGATTTCTGGATGAAAATGGTTGTAGGATACCAGAGAAACTCAGGTACGAACCTCCGTGACCTCCTCTGCCTGCGGCTGCCCAGCCGTGCCAGGTAGCTAACGGCATGTCCTGTGCTCTAGAAAACCAGGCGGTAGTTTGATCACAGGGTGACCCAAGGAATTCTAATTTGTAGTCCTCACCAGCTTTTTCTGAATATGGCCCCAGTGCTTAGAGCCCAGTGGGATTCTCAGGTGGGCTTAAGGATAAGCTATTATACCAATTCCCAGTTCAGATACTTCCTGCATCATGCTGAATGGGAAGCTGCTTTTACTCTCTGGAGCTATTACTTTATCAACTCATAGTTTAATAAATGCATGACCTGTTCATTTTACTTGAAAAGCACCTGTATAAAATTGATGTTCTTGTTTTGATGAGAAATATTTGGGACCTGCTAATTCCCTTTTATATTCACACCTTGTGTTTGAGTAATGTTTGTAGCATGTAAATATAACAAATGTCTTATGCTTCTGGATATCCTGTTCTTGAGGATCTTTTGAAGAAGATGCACTGGTTTGTAAGCATGTCAAGAAGTTAATCCTATGTTCTCTTCTTTAGTCCCTCAGGAACTGAGGATCCTCCGGCAGTGTGTGAGATTTCTCCATTAGTTTCTTACTTTGGAGAGGTGAGAATAATTATCTATGGAAGTATTTTTAAGAGTGTGCAGGTATGCATCTGATTTCCTTCCAGACACAGGGATTTCTCTAGCCTGGGCTTGCTAAGAAATGGTACGATCAAGGGAACTAGGACTTGGGCTCTGCATTATGTTCGTGGTTTCACTATGGTTTACTCTTCAGCAGTTCATTCTTGGTTCTAGCCATCTGTAAAATCAGATTTGCAACGAGGCTGCACAGTTTTGTTAAGACTCACAAGTACTTTGAGATCTTCTAAATGAAAATGCAGAATACTCAAATTACAAAATCCATGGGGTTGCTGTATTTGGTTGTATGCTAATTTGTGCCCATCTCCCCCAGTGAGTGAATACTGAACAGGAAGTGTGATATGTGCATGGGCTTTAGAGAAACCACGTCTTAGAACAGATTTCTCAAGTTTGTCCCTCTGAAAATAATTGGTCCTGCAAAAGCTGGTTCCATTTAGCAGTGAGAAGAGGAGCTTCCCTGTGTTGGACAGACAGGGTGAGAAATAGTGGATTGCAGGAGGATCTGTGGGCACTGTGGGGAAGGGCATTCGTAAAACTTTTTATCTTCACTAGGTTTACGCATGCAGGTAGCAAACTCGTCGCAATCCATGCGTTGTAAGAACAAAATGAAAGCAAGGCAATTTAAGTTGACTTTTCTTTGCTAGGATTATTCTAATGTGAGTTAAGGACACACGTTCCCATGCCTGCCCCTCCCCAGGAAGCTCGTTTCTGAGATCCCGTGTTTTACGGTTCATAGGTGCCTCTCCTTCCTGAACCTCAGGCTTGGGGCTGAAAGGTTTTCCATCTCTGCCAGTGGAAACACTGTTGCTGTTGTCTGTCCTTCCCATGACCTTTTCACTTTGGGTAGTCAGTCGTTCTTCGAGGACTTTAACATAGTCTTAGAAGTAGTGCAGGTAAGCAGCCTGCTGCTTTGTACAACCTAACGGTACTGTTTTCACACGTTCTCAGGGTCTGGAGGCGTACATGAAGAACAAAGACTTCCCTTCTCCCTTTGTACTCGATGAAAACAAAGCGGCAATGCTAGGAAATGCTTGAAGAGGAGGGAGGCCTTTCTCCCTCAAATCAGATATCTGTGTCAGGTCCATGATAAGAATGTTACTAAAATGTCAGACGAAGTGCGTTATAAAAAAATGCCTTTGCAGTATGGGACTGATGCCAAATCCTTGCCACAGTTGTGTTTACACACAGGTATGTGCCCATCAGTTCTGTTTGGTAACTTTGAAGGCTGTGCCTTTTACCTCAGTCTGTTTGGTGGACTTGGATGTGAAGGAAGATTACTACCTTCCAGGTACCAAACAGATGTTATAATTTCTTATTTGCTGTGCATACAAATATGTACACGAGCCAGTCATGGCCTAACAAATCAGCTTTGCATTCAAGAAGATTAAACCTCTTCAGTGCCTTGTTAGGTATCTTGTTTGTGCTGGTAGGGTTGGGTGTTTTTTCTTCATTTTTGTTTTTAAATTGTGTGCACAGCTGAAGAATCAGTTTGATCCTTTTTCTTCCTTAATCTTGTGCTGGTTAGAAGATCCAATTCAGCAATTGCATCCTCTAACCAGATCATACAGAGGATGGTGCTGTGCCAAAGCATTGCTTGAGGTTTGGACTCCACAACAGCAGACTGGTTTGCATATCTAGGCTTGCTGGTGGCATTCCAAGAAAACAGAAGTAAACATGCAGTTTAGACTGATTGCTCTTTACAGCTGTAGTGACATTAAAAAAAGAAAAAGATTATGAGATTTTTTTTCACAACAACCTTCTGCTCTTCCTGTCTATAACAAATTTATTTTGCTTTTCATTTTTCTGTTTAATGTATACCATATCCCTTAAAGGGGACTCTTTTAAAAAGTACCTGGAAGTAGTAAGAGGAACAAATCCTTATAGTAGAATTTAATGCTTGACCAAAACCACAAAAAGACTTAATCCCAGCATAACCAGTGTACACAGTAAAACACCAGCCTCTGCTTCTACAGTTTCTGGCCAGCTAGTTTTCCAGCACTCTTTCACTTATGAAAAAACAGTTTAGATGCCTTCCTTTTAAATATATTACTAACCATAATGTAAAGATAAGTGTCAGCTAATGAAGGGCGCTAATTACCAGAACATATGTAGCATATGAACTCGGCCCTGGCCGAGGGATCCCAGGGTGGCCGTGATCCACAAACGACTGTTCCTGTTCAGCCTCCGGATGCTGCCCTGGCAAGCTCGTGCCAGGCAGGCGCCTGCCTGCTGCAGAACCTGCGCTGAACACACCAAAGTCATTTCACTCTGGTGAGGATGCTTCAGGTGCACTGCCGGTGGCCTTTGCTTGAGGAGCACTTTATACTTTTCCCCTAAACCAGATGTTAGGGCAGGTGGTGAGGAAGATGCCTCACCTGGAATGATGTTATTTCATGCATCTGCTTCTACTGAGGAATTGCTGATGATATTTTATTAAGCATAAATCTTTTCAATAACTTATGTGGCTTTCTGCAATTCCTGACACGAAGCTGTATTCAGAATGTTGGGGATGGATAAAAATGGCTTTGAGAGTAACTGCAGTTTGTAAGTAGGCTCGTGTTTCCCAAAGAAAGCATCTAAATGTCAATGGCAGAGTTTTTAGGTATCAAGTGTATCTGCATGCATGTAAGTAATGAGCCTTTTGGACATACAAACCAGCTCATAACAGTTCCAATTACCTCATTTTGCATGTACAGCCAGTAATTCCCATTTTTAGTATAAATTAAGCATTTGTCCTTGACACTCAATTCTGTAATTTTTTTCACAGTGTTTCTATGGGTCATTCCATTCCTGTCAGTCAAGTTTTATATCTGAGAACAAATGGTGTTTTATCTTTGTGAGTATTGCTTGTCAATTCAGGCACAAGCTCATTTTAAATTGCACTGTGCTATAAAGAAAGGATATTTCTTTTGCTTTTCCTAAAGTGCTTTCTCTTTTGAAACTTCAGTTTCCTTGTGCTTTAATCATGTGTACACTGAGCTGCTGACATGGTTTTTAGAGGTGGTTTTCAAGGAGAAGCTGAATTAGAATGCTGAGTGCCTTGTCTGTTGGGTATTTTTCTATGACTCCTCACATTTTAAGCTGAAACATTGAAAGAATTTTGAGAGAACTTTAAAAAATAAATCTGTCCTGTATGTAACAAAGTAATTTTCGTATGCATTATGAGGGAGTTCCCGTAGTACTCCAGAAACTTCTGGACATGTAAGCATTTTTATAATAAAGATGTTACTGTGATTTCTGTGTCTGTCTGTGTTTCTTGTTCATGAGGAAAGTGCACTTGTTGTCATTGTCCCTACA